TCAAATGGATTCCAATGACATCATACATACATCACCTTCTTCGACACGGCGACGCTTCCAAGCGTTTATCTACTAACTTCATGTGCATATATATCTCTGATATGTATGCAACTTCAGAGCAGCTACACTCAGTTCGAGTTGTCAGCTTCTTAACCCTATTTGTAGAGTAACTTTTTAGATTAGTAAAAAGCTAGTTTTTCTACTAACTATTCTATTCTAAAAATCATGAGTGATAACAGTAGTGATGAAACTGATGCGCCACATGTTCTATTCAAAGACCGGCCCGAATGGAAGGATATCACCCCCTTGAAACAAGATGATGGTGAACACCCAATGATAGCTATTGATTATACCCCTGAATGTGAGTTTTTGCTGCTAATCAAGCATTAAAATACTCCAGAACGTTTAAATCTCAAACAAATGCCCCGAAAATCCTGCTTCAGATTCTAACGTTAATTTCATCTTTTTCCTGTCTAGTTGAGGACTGTTTCGACTATTTTAGAGCAATTCTTCAAAAGAAAGAGTACTCTGATAGGGCTCTATTGCTTACTAAAACTGCTGCCGCTTTCAATCCTGCGAACTACACTGTTTGGCAGTACAGGTAGCATTAAACAACTCTAATTTATTATGTAGCAGAAGGTGATTTTCGTTGATGGTTGCAGACGAGAAATTCTGAAAACTCTTAAAAAAGACCTACATGAGGAGATTGATTATATGGAAAAAGTCATTTTAGGAGAAACGAAAAACTATCAAGTGTGGCACCATCGAAGGATTTTGGTGGAATGGTTGCAAGATCCCTCAAAGGAAAAATACCTCACTGAAAAAGCTTTGGCCAAAGATGCCAAGAATTATCATGCTTGGCAGCACAGACAGTGGACTATTAAAACATTTAAGTAGGATGATTAACCGGTTTGTAGCCCTCATGGCTCAACTAAGCACTTAATTCTTCAGCTTGTATGATGGAGAACTGTTGTATGTGGATAATCTTCTACAGGAAGATATAAAAAATAACTCTGCTTGGAATCAGAGATACTTTGTTATAAACAATACCACTGGTTTTACAGAAGAAGCCTTAAAGAGGGAAATTGAATATACTCTGGGTAAAATTAAAATTTTGCCAGATAATGAGAGTGCATGGAATTACCTAAGAGGGTGAGTGTTTTAAAACCTCTCAAATTCCCAGCTCACAAATTTTCCTTGATCATTCATAAGAAAGCGGTCTTAGTATTGTAATCACCTTAATAGTGAAAAAGTAATTTTCTCACCGAATTACTTTCCTTTCAGTTTATTGCTCCACGATAAAGGAGGTTTAAGTCGTAATAGTACAGTTACGAAATTTTGTGAAAATTTCTATAAAGAAGGACACAGATCTCCCTTTCTGTTAGCTCTTATCGTGGATATGTGCTCTGAGAGAGCAGCTGAAAGTGGTGGAGGCGATGATGATAATGTCTACACAGTGGCAAGAGCAAAGCAGTTGTGTAGTGATTTGGCTACTCTATATGATACCATCAGAGCAAAATATTGGGTTAGTCAAGAAAACCATCTAAAAAAGATCAACTTTTATATGAAATATTTGTTCCAGGAATATATTTCCGATACAATAGAAAAGAAGTCCAAAGGTGAACCGTGCGATGAAGCATGTTCCAGTTTCAATTAACGTTCAATTAATTTATTACCTTTACTTTTATGTTGGTGATATTATTTTTAATTACGAAGGCATTTATAAGAAACGTGTTCATTGTTGTAGTCGATGTGTGTTTCAAGTGCGAGAAGATTTTTCCATTTGCCTGCCACTTTTTGTAGCATTCAGCTTAAGTAGCTCTGGAATTTTGGGGTTTGTCGTTCGAAAACTAAAATGTCTGTTTGTAAAATTATATAATTTATTATAAGTACTATTAACATCATTATGTGATATATACATAAAATCTATGTTGAGTTCTTATTTAAATACCTGACATGGACATTATCTCGATAAACCTTCCTAAGTTATTCTATTCTAAATTGTATTGGAACCTGAATGAATATTTGTCGTGAATGTGGGGTATAAATTCTAAATTTCAGCGCAAATTACATCTAGTTTATTAGTTTTAATTGATTTATTGCGTAAGAAAGTAATTCTGGATTAACATTAAGCAGTAAACATCTTCCTGCAAAAAACATGTTGAATCTTTATTGACCAAGAAATAAAATTTCAGTGGTGTTGATTTCATGATTTCACGATGAACCTTTGAAACAATTGTGTGGTGTACTTTATAAGTTCGTTTTTTTCGATTTTTTAACTAAACATGAATGTTTCTACACTTGTGTAGAATTTTTCATTGATGCACCATGTACAATGGTTTTGGTTCATGCAAACATACTGTGCTAGAACGGTAGGGAAATGTAGGAATGAATCATCTTTACTAGAGTGCAATTATTTAAGATTGTTTGAAAGTCCTTGTGGGATATGTTTCGTATCTGTTTCATTTTACATTTACGACTAAAATTTGCTGAAAAAACTAGTAGCCTATATACGTACATTAATATCATTAAATTTGCTTACGCACACTTTCTATTAACAAGTAGGTAACATTGTTTCTAGAATAATTATTTCAACATATAATTTTGATGAGACAGAACGGAAAAATATAAAATTTCTAATACATGTTTATATACACAATTTTCGATCTATCTACGTCGTTAACAAAATGTATAATAAACTTTTTACATTCATTATCAACATTAATATCAGGTCCTTCTTAATAAATGGTAATATTTATTCACGTAATTTTTTATTTCAGATAGAGCATGTTCCATAGATTGAAAGAAAATTCATATTCGATCTACTTTAAAAGATTCAAATAGGTTTATATGGTTCTGTTTGCGTTTATTTGTCGCTTTTTTCTAGCTTATCAGAGTATCGAGTTCAAACTTCACAATACGCAGAAACGGAAAAAAATTATTTTACCAGAAAATGTCGATAGTGTTTGTTTTTTTGTGGAAATGCAGTTTTTGACTCATTTTCCCTCATTGAAATTCACTATTTTCCTACAAGATTACAAAGAGCGTCGTTGTAGCTTCCGCTTAAGGTGTTAAGCCCTTCCACCTTCCACCATACTAATGATATATTTTATGAAAAAGTAGTGATTTTTTTTTATAAGGTGAGTGAAAGTGTTCGGAAGCCCCATTTTCACAAGAAACACCGTTAAGAAATGTTATTAGTTCAGGGACATCTACCTATACGATGAGCAAATTGTTAACTTCTCAAAAACCAGAGCTTCATAAACTAGAAAATTACCTAATCAGCCATTAAGGTATTGGAAAATTAATAATTTACTTGAGTTTTAAAATGTTTTTGGTAAACTGTAAATAACATAACTTCTTGACACACAAGGGGGTTTGGATGGTTGGAAAGTTGCGTTTTTGAAGTTTATAATATTGTCCTTGCATATATTTTATTTTTATTTCAATACTTTATCAGATAATTTAATTTCAATAGGTTTTATAAGATTTGTACTGATTATCAATTTTTCTGTATAATAATTTTCTCGTTTTATGCCCCCTGTGTTCCCTCCCATAAAGTCAAGATGACGAGGGACTGATAGTTTTGTTGGGGCAAACATCGAATTTTCTAATCTTTTCGATAGCACTTTTATGCATTTTTATCGCTTCTTGTCTGTTCCAAGTTCCCCAAACCGGAACCTCGATTTGGGGACTTCGACCACAAAAATACGCAATATATTCTACTTAACAATTGTCTGGAACATTTGAAGCCTATTTTAGAGACTGTGTATTTGAAAACATTTTCTTACGTTTTTGTTTGATTCCCTCACGTTATTATCGAAGTTTTCCCTTTCTTCAACCTGTAATTTTAGTTTCCACAGATCGGTGGATGCAACATTTTAATTCATTTAACTTCATCTTCTGTTAGGTGCATTTATGCTTCCTACAAATCTGGTAACTATTGCCTTTTTGGCAAATTTCTGTGTTTTTCAGCATAAATAATATCAAATCAAGTTCAAGAGATTTCTTTTTGTGTTGTTGTGGCCTCAAATAATAATAAATAAGAACAGTCTCCAGAGAATACATCGCGTTTTTTGGGGTGGCGCCTTCGTTACGCCTCGCCTAAAATGCTAATGTGGCTTCATTATGAAAGCTTACGCACCAATATTAGATATTTACAATGTAATTTTTTTCACATGGCTTCAAAGTATCAGTTTTTTGTTTTGATTTTGGCCCAATTTGACCCATCTGCTACATGTACAGATGCCACAAATTGCAAGAATGCCGGTTTCCTTCATTCACGATATTCTCAATAAAATTCATTAATCTTCAAATGGAACAATTTTATTACATTTTCTTACAGCTGTAAGTGTCCCAATTCAATAGTTTGTTATTACTCTCAACTAAAATATTCCATCAATTAATCTCAGAAGAGTTTGCATGTGTCGGGTGGAGTGGCAAATAAAATTAACGTTTTAATTCAAATGCCACGGTTTTGCCAAATGAAACTGGGGCAATTTAATTGCTCAAGCTTAATTAGCTTTAGCTGTAACAAAGCTGCATTTTTCAACTTTAATTTTAATCAGAAATTAGCGGTTTTTTGCCAGAAAAGCTCTAAATTACAGACAAAATTATGAGAGTTACATCTCATTTTAGAGCAAAATTTTTTGAGAATTTTAATTTAATGTTTCTTATAAAGCAGCCAAAGTAGCCGACCTTAATCAACATTATTAATTATAGTAATTTTTTATTAAATAACCATCGCTGATGCAAAAATTTGTTTTGATTAATTCACTTGCTATTAGGTATAAACGTGCTTTAAACTTTTTGATTGATATATAAAAGCAGATCATTTTCGTAAAAGATAACAATACTCATATAGTCAACAACATTTATCAAAATCATTATAGATAACCAATATTCCTAAAAAATTCTTCGACAAAGGCACTGTAAGAACTGAATTCATACACTATTATCGTTTCTGAAATATGGATCAAGCCCTATTTTGTTGACTTCCAGTCTGTACATTGTAATAAACTCTATCGATCTCCATCAAGTTTTAATACACTGTTGAGTTTAATTAAATATCTGACTCTTGGAATTTATTGTTTTCTTATTGATTTCACATTGAGGGTGCTGTTACCATCCTTCGGCAATTATTTTAAAGCTCACTATAAAACTGATCCATCACATAATGAAAAATGTATTTATACTGAACACAATTTAGCCCGCTTGGAAGGTAGAATGTCCAAGTTGGCGAAGAAATATTCTGACACATTAATAAAAAAACAACATTTGAAGCAGCTTGATATTCTTATTGTAAGATATTCTATAATTGGTCAAAGTTAAATAGTTACGTGTCTAACTTATAGTTAGAAGATTTAGAGCAAGATCTAGTAGGTTTCTTCATCGAAAAGCATCGTCATTCCTATGACATCAGACCGTTGTAGTCGGTGACGCGATTTTCGCCAGACGTTGATAATACAAATGTAACAATTTTTTTTCTATCATTCCTATTGTTCTGTTTGGTCACCTCGAACCGCACCAACCGAATGTCACATGCAGGAGTTGAAAACGGCCATAGAAGCGGAAATGTCCTTGTCGGTCTTGCAACAGTCGAGAAACTCATCCAGAGTTACCACACCGTCTTGGTTTTTATCCATTTTCTGAAACAAACAACCGGAAAATGATTAATCTATTGTTTTTATACTGAAAATAAGTGCCTGATATTCAAATTTCGCTTTCTGGGTCAAAACTACTCGAATTTTCTCACTCATGTTGTTATGGACCGAATCGAATTTCCAATTCTCTATCACTGCATATTCGTTATTAGGCCGGAACCATTCCAATGAGGGCAAAAAACACGGTTGTGAAATTTTGATTTTTGGTCGAAAATTTCATAAGCAAGGACCAAGAGATCGATTTTTTACAAAATTCAAGTTTCTCAAAATACCTCGAATTCTACATCATCAAAAAACACGGTTGCGAAATTTTGATTTTTGGTCGAAAATTCCATAAGATCGATTTTTGAAAAAAATTCACGTTAATCAAAATACCTCGAATTCTGTGGCTCAAATAGGGCGATTTTACAACTCAACAAAAAACACGCAAATCTGAAACTTCTCGAAATCAGTACTTTTTTGAGAAAAATGCAAACATTTCCTTATCGACAATTCACTTCCTAAAAAGGCCATTTAGTTCTCTCTGGAAAGATGTAAAAATGAGCTTTCTTGCTCATTTTTTTTGCGAGAAATGACCAATGGCATGCCATAACCAACCCTAACCAACCCACGTAAGTAACGGTTTTTGCAACAGTTGAGCTATTTTTTCGAGACAATTCTTATTCGGCAAACATATAGAGAAAACGTTGTTTTTCCAGTTTCTAGAGCTCGTTTTTCTTGGATTTAAATGTTTAATCGGCAGAAGTCGAGAAAATAAGAGTTCCCAAACAACAATGACTGGGGAAACATTATTAGTTCCAAAGGAAACTAATTTCATACAATTAGCAATTTAAAACTATGAATTATTGAAAAATACGGACCAAAGATGTTAACGAAGGATGAGAAGCAATCAGAAAATAAACTTCAAATCCCGCTTTAAGACATGTTATTTCACAGATTCACAAATATTTCCTAAATATTCATCGAGTCGCAAATAAAAATAATCAAAGCCCATAAAAACTAGCGAAAAACGTATATGGAATTGGAACTTTTATTGAAAGAGATTTGAAATGTATCGATGCAACTCGCTCGGGTGTATATTCTGTCGGATAAAAGAGCTAGAGCGGGTCGACTCTATGTGGAGTTAATAAAACTCTATAGCGACCTTCTTTTTCAAAGGTAACTTTAAACATATTTATTGGAAATGTGAATGACATTTTCAGGTAGTTCCTGTTTAGGATACTCGAGGGATAAAGTTGTCGTATTGAAACTAAGATAAAGCGAGTAAGAAATGTATGATTCTGTTCTGGCTGTTTAACAAAGAGTAAGCGGATTATTGACACGTATGTATATGTTGCTGTTACGTCTTAAAAACATCTGCTAAAATACGCGAAATTTTCGTTTTGTATAACAAAGTTGTATAAAGATTATGCGTTCCAGAGTGAAAAAATTTAAACAAATCGGGAAAATTTTTAGGGAGATATTTAAACCTACTTTAGTAGTCAGCGTCTCATTGTTGAACTCGACTTTTTAAATTTTAGTGAATACAATTATTGCTTTTTAAAATTTTTGGGAGTCTGGTTTATAAAAATTCAATATTTTTGGTTTCAGAGTGTAGTTCAGGAGACAGTGAGAACCATCGTGAGATCTTCTGATCATCTGTAGGTGAACGGGGAATCAACTTCTGGTAAGTGTTTCAACATCTGAATGCATACATAATTTACCCTGCCAATTTTAAAAATTGGAACGTTTACTCAAAATAGCACATTGATATAATAAATCATTGGATACTTCTGACCTGAATCGAACCGATTTTCCATTCGCTGGCCGCATTATGTCAATTGAGGTCCGAAGCCAGAATGTCTCGAAGTGCAACTATTGAACACTTTATGACAATTGAGCTCTCCAGCAAAATCGAATAAAATGTGGACAACGTCTAGATCATAAATTTTACGAGGCTCTTGCCAGCTTAATCATAGATATGATCTTGCGCCATGGATTTTATCGGTTTGCGAATAAAATATTATTTCACTTCACTTGCTGTTGCTCTTACCTGAAATATTCTATCGACTTTTTCCTTTACGGTATCATCTTCTATACAGGGCTCGGCCAGTTTGCCCATTAGGTCATAAATGGAACTAACTATTTCTGTCATTTCTTCGCGAGTTATGTAGCCGTCGCCGTTAATGTCGTAAAGCGAAAAGGCCCATCGGAGTTTCTCCTCCAAAGTGCCTCGGGAAAGTATTGATAGATTCTGCACAAAATCCTGAAAGATAATAACAAGATTCTATTATTTCTTAAATGATCGTTATTTACCAATCCATTAATTTAAAAGGAGAACAGTTTTATTTCTCAAAAAGAGTGAGTTTTTCAAGATTTAAAGTAAAGCGCCAAATGCTTACTTACTAGTTTTAATTGAATTTTTGTTAAAAACATTCAACCGCTATTGAGAGTTGTGAGAGTGTAAAATGTGCTTCTGCAGATGAATACCAGCAGGCAAAAAATTATTTAAAAATATTGTGTTAGCAATGCTTAGTTTTCTTAGGCTGAGCAGCAGATAGTCATCAAATCTGGAAACTAACTGCTGAACTAAAACACGGATATTTTTCCTTTTTAGGGGATTGATAGCTTAAATAATAGATCAGCCCACAAAAAAAGGAATTATCTCCATGTCTCAGGTTTAGGAGCCGACTAAACAGGTAACCTTTTTCAAAAACGCAAAATCTAATCCTCCAGCAGCTTTAATTTCGATCGCTCTTTGGCTGTCATTTGAATATCATATTAAGGTATCAGGTGTTATCTGCCCCAACCGCGGAAGAAAAACCAATATAGCTCAGGTAAACAATGTAAATTTTTTCGCGTGTTTGCCCCCGGAATTTCTAGCTGAAAGACGTTGGCTCCAGCTAATGTGATTTTCTAAATGGAGATATGCATTTCCGGTTTTTCAGGAAACTCGTATATTTTCCTGACGTGAGCCGCTTTGGGAATTTTCGACGAGAGATACGTTATATGCAAGTGCAATGTTGGGCAAACTCATGTGGCGTTTTAATTTCTGCATACATTCGTGGCGCAACATGCAGAATTTGATAAAACATGTTTCCTTTCACGGAAACGAATTGCATTGGTGTCGTCAAGACATGAAGTTAAATGTACAAAGCCAAATAAACTTGGAGCCAGGAAAAAGCGGTTTTTACGCGGGTTATTTGCTGACAAAGCTATCAGTTCTATGAAAATTCTCATGTAATGAAAGTCCGCAAACGTAGACATATATATCATTGCTTTGGGAATTTAATTGAAAAGCTACATTTTGCATATCTGATCTTTATTCCCTACAAAACCAATTTTGAATCCCCCTATATTTATGCATCATCCATTTCCATCTACTGTTTTTTATCGGGCACCCGCAAATCCAAGTGGTTATTTCCATATAATTACCGTAAAAGCCGAGCACTGGCGGTAATAAAGAATCAGCAAGTGAAAAATCCCATTATTACGCTATTGTAGACTGCACATACGTCGCTCTTGTTGGAAAATTCCTAATTACCTGCGAAAATAGTTTTTCGCACAGCATTCAGCCGTCCTGGAAACCCTCTTCATCCACGCCTCTATAATTATGTAAAATGTAAACAACTCCATTCGGTCGTAAGCTTTATTATTGCCCTCTAAATTATTATGTTAGAGCTGTTTATTTGGATTAGTGTGATGCTCTGCCGTAGTAATTTGGCCTCTAATTTGTGCTTGTTGGAATTATAATTTCAGAACGTATTTTTAATCTCCTTGTGTGTGTAATTACAAGCCCCCTGGTTCGTTGGGTTATGTTCCAAGACCACAAGATATATATATTTTTTACAAACTTCTTTTTGGGTATTTCGCCTCAAAAATTTTTGTCTTTAAAAAAGACAGAATTTCCTCACGTCTTTTATTACAGATTGA